AGTAAGAAACATCTCTGGTTTCCAGAGATGGACAATTATGCTCAAAAAGGTCAGGAAGTATTTTGCATTCTTGCACATGTTAATTCTAAGCTGCTCTAACCTCCCAATAAAACAAGCAAGCTTGTTTTAAAAACAGTGTGCAGCTTTTGTTCATTACTGCTACTGGAAATCTCTTTCAGAATTCATTCCTCAGATGATTAGACACTATCTTCTACTTTGCAGGGTAGACCTCCTCGAGTCTGGTCTTGCATCAGTGCTGCTCTTCCTCTTAAAAAGCTCTTCTTTATAAACATCATGTTGGGCAGAGAGTGGCCTTGCTCTTTTAGGAAATAATAATAATAAAAAGCTTTAGGAGCAGCAAGTTTTTTTCCTTTCGTTTTTTCCCCCCCCACCCCACTCTCAGCTCCTGCAGTTTAAGCCCAGGTCTCTGAAGGCCACAAAATTACCTGATGTTAACTACATAGCCCAATCCCTGTTCTAGCCACAACAGGAATTATTGTATTTATTGTATATGATAATATACAAGCATTAATGGGATCCTGGTTGGTTCACTGTAGGTTAACATATAACCCTTGCACAACTGCTTCGCCTTAGTCATTCAGAGTTTCTTGTGCCCAACCACATACCCTGCTTTTCAGGTGCTTCATCCCATTCCTACTCACTCTTCAAGACCATGCAGGTCCTCCCAAAAAATATCCCCAAATTCTCCTCCTCCTTAATTATCTCTTACTTTTCTGACTCAGTGAGTTTTATCTATACTTTCTTCCTCCAAGAAAGTTAATGAGAACATTAACTAAGATTTAACTTCAAACTACTCCTAAGTGAATTATAGAAGCAATCTGTCTCCTGTTGCAGTCACCTCTTTTAACTGCTTCTGGCCAAACATTCTAATGCTACTTCTTCAGTGCAACTCTTCCCCACACGGCTCTCAAAGAACCATCACTTGAACATCACAGAGAGTTGGATCTACTCATCTCTAATAAATAAATAAATAAATTACACACATCAAATTAGTTTGACATCATCTAGCTTTATTTTGCTTTCCACTTGCACCTATTTAATTGCCTTTTTCCCCTCAAACTTGCTTGAGAATGTAGCTCTCTGCTGCAATCAGACCAAACAGATCTGAAGTTGCCTTGAACATCTGATACTACGTTTTGCTCCTCTGGAGAGCAAAAAGTATAAATATTTACAGGCGGCTCAGCTCAAACATTGATTAAAAAATAAAACAAACAAACAGATCACATTTGCAAATTCAAATACCTTTTTCTCCTGGTGTTCAGAGGCAGAAAACCTGTAAACAGATCCCATCGAGTGACTCAATTCACAAGCTGACAGAAATTGCAAAACTGGCCTTGAAAGACTTAAAAAACCAAAAAAACAAAAACAAACAAAAGCAAAAAACACTGTGATCAACTAACAGGATCTGCTCAAAAGACTCATCCAACAAATCAAATTCTACTTCTGAAATGCATCGATTTGCAATTCTTTAAGCCTCATCGTCCTAACTGTAAAGCCACATAGATCCTACCTCAGTATTTGGATAAAATGACTTGCTTCCATCTTATGCATACATGGTGTAAAAATAAGCCAGGCTGGATTTCCCTGCTGTACTTTGAACAAGAGCAGTCACGCAGCTCCTGCAGATCTATACTGCTGTACTGAGGCCAAGTTCGCAGTTGCTCTAACGGTCTTTCCACTCCACCTTCTCAATCCCAGCATCGGCCCCCCCGCCCCTTCCTCTCACTTTCTCCAAATTTCCTCCTTTCCCTGCTGTCTGGATGACATCCAAACCTTGGTTTCTTCTTCCAAAACAGTCATGATTCAACATGGTCCTTCTCA